GACCGCAATCTTGCACGTCTGACCCTGATTCGATCTAAGCACCCCCGAACAACAATTTTTAATGCAGAAGCAAAGCAAGTGATGACGAACGATATATATGGAAATGACAGACAACATAAACAACGTCTATGATTTCCTCTTGAGCACCGTACCCACAGATGCATCTCATTCTCGCATTGTGGCTCCCAACCACAACTCCAGTCGAATAACAGAAGCCACTGGCAAGCTTGTTCCGCAATGGAGACAAATGGACCGGCATTTAATATTTAATACACAATTTTGAACAGGCTCTGCAGACTAAAACTCACTGAAAATGAGAGACTTCTCGCAAAATCGTTTATTGAACGTTGCAGCTAGCAGACGTAGCCTCAAGAAAGCAAGCAAGTATAGGCACGATACCGACTCACTATTCCTTGCCAAAAGGCCCAGATGAATCAAGAACTACATGAAAACTGGAAACTTGGAAATGGAATTGGAAACAGTCATGAGGAAGTTCTACTCGGACATTTCCAAATCAAATCACCGCACATCTACAGAACAGATGCCTGCTGGAGGAATCGTGTTGTCATTCTCGCGTCCGATGTTCGCAATTGAAACGATGCCGAAGGGGAAGTCTCCGGGAGTCGATGGATTGTCCATAGAGGCTTTGCAAGCTCGCGGCTACAATTTTTACTCGCCCTAGCTGAAGGATTCACTCGATATGTCAGTGAATGTGAGTACCTGAAGCATGGAAGAAAATCCAAGACAATTCTGCTGTTCAAAAAAGGAGATAAGGAGGACTTGGATAACTACCGACCCATGATGCTCCCACCGGTGTTGTGTTGGGTTGACCCATAATTTCTGGCCGATTTTGGTTCGAATTCAATTTTCAATATGTCAAATTAACTTCATATCGAAATAAGTTGATATGTTGAAGAACACATCAGGACCTTCAGCCAGGATGTTTCAGAAGCTCAAATGCGCAAAGGGATAATTAAGTAGGAATCAAAATAGATCAACGACCAAACCCAACCATTATGCCTTACGACAATTTTAAGAAGAACCTTGCAAGGAGCGCGGTAGGCAAGATCAGCGCTACGTTTGCCCCAGTCTTTGCTACTGATCGGCACTGAGCTATTGGCTCAATAGCATCGGCAAATAAGATAGGAGCTGCAAAGTTCGACCTCATCATGGACCTCCAGTCACTTTGGATGAGGACCCCTTGCGCAACGAATAGGAAGTGCATCCTGACGCTATTAGCAGGAAATATAGCAAACGCCTGGACGCAGCCTACGCTCATTGCATTATCGTGCCATAATTTTTCATTGACCGAATTTACCCTTTGACGACGCGGAGCTCGGCCCACGTGGTGGAGCTGTTATACGCAGAGTTCAGCTGTAACTGTATAACCCACAATCAGCATTCCGTGGTACACCGTTGCTATACTATATCACCATATAAAAACATGACTTTGTTTCCGTGGATGTCTGGTTTCGAAGTCACCCTCAGCTGTCCATCAGCCGCCAACCACGGTCGTCTTCTCGCGTTGTTATTGGGAAACATCTCCCTTGTAAAATGGTCAACATGAAGTCAAGAACCTTTTTCCTCATGCGCTCATTGCATTATCGTGCCATAATTTTTCATTGGCCGAATTTACCCTTTGACGACGCGGAGCTCGGCCCCGTGGTGGAGCTGTTATACGCAGAGTTCAGCTGTAACTGTATAACCCACAATCAGCATTCCGTGGTACACCGTTGCTATACTATATCACCATATAAAAACATGACTTTGTTTCCGTGGATGTCTGGTTTCGAAGTCACTCCTCAGCTGTCCATCAGCCGCCAACCACGGTCGTCTTCGCGTTGTTATTGGGAAACATCCTTTGTAAAATGCGGTCAACATGAAGTCAAGAACCTTTTTCCTCTTGAAGTTATGGAGCGAAGTTTCCAGTATTGGCAACCAGTACTGCTTGCTCGCGTCGCTCAGAATAGGCCAAACCCATTTTCTATCCTGAAAGGCCTTAACAGTCGCACGTAGGAACTTTCAAATTTTTTTGTTGACACAACTGAATCTCCATGCAAGTTTTGTGCGGTTTGTCGAGGACTCAATTCGTTGGCTTTCTTTATTTCTGAGTCATCTAGAGCTCCACGGATCTCTTTCACTGAGGGTCCTCTCTCACTGAAAGATCTCGAGCCGGTTGGTGGCGAGGCTACGTGGCGCGACCCCAGGTGGCGGATAGGGGGTAAATCGCGGACCAAAAGCCACCATGTACTTGCCCTGAGACGCAGGTGGATTCAGGGGATGGACTCCCTGTTTCTGTAGTGCTGTGTCGATTCATACCAGCTGTCTCCACTCAGGTGTCCATGCATGCTTGCGTGTGTGGTGCGCTCTGTGTGTGTGCGGTTGGTATCCTGCATGTCGGCACAGCCAAAAGCTTGCATTCAAGTGACTGGGAAGTACATGGGAGGCGATTCGGGGCCGCCTCCAAAAAATAAGCCCCTTGTTCCGCTCCAGGATAGCGTGGCTAACTACCTGGAGGTCTATCCTAGCCCACACGACAGAGCCTGGCAAGCTACTCGTGTGCCTTCAATATGCCGAAAACAGCAATATGGATGGGGCCTCATTCCCCTGAACCTGAGGGAGCCCCCAATACGGCAGCGTTGGGTAGGACCGCTCGGGAGAGGCTGCTAGAATCTCAGGGCCCGGATAGGCTGCCTAAACGAAGAAGGACTAAGATGGCGATCTGTACTTTCAACGCACGAACGCTTGCATCCGAAGCTCACATCGAAGATCTGATGATGCAGGCCAGGAAGATCAAGTACGACGTCATCGGACTGACCGAGACGAGAAGGCACCGCCCGCTACACGCCGTTTTCGATACTGGAGAAGAACTGTTCCTTGGAACATGCGACAGCAGAGGCGTTGGCGGTGTGGGTGTCCTCGTCAACACGCACTTGGCCATAAACATCGATTCGTACGAAAGCCTTACGACCCGAATCGGACGTTTGAGATTGAGAAGATGTGGTTCAACTCCTGCTTTGACAATCTTCGTCGCCTACGCACCAACATCCAGCTACGACGAGGAGGAACACGAAGCATTTTATATGGAATTGGAGAAGTTCTACAAGGAAGATCATACCTTCTTCAAGGTCATCGTCGGCGACTTCAACGCCAAGATTGGCCCAAGAAGAACGGCTGAAGAACTTCACATCGGTACTCACGGAATGGATTGGAATGAGCAGGGCGAAAGACTGTCTGAGTTTATCATGTCGACCAACACCATCCATGGTAACTCACAGTTCCAGAAGCCCTCTCACCTTCGTTGGACTTGGGAGTCACCTGATGGACAGTTCCATAACGAGATAGACCACATCATCTTCAATCGAAGGTTTTGCCTGACCGACGTCGCTGTTGTTCCGAAGTTCTACACGGGATCGGACCATCGTCTCCTCCGCGCAAAGTTCCACTTTTCGATGCGTGTTGAGAGAGCCTCGAAGTTCAGGAAGCGAAGCCCCAGGACAGTCATCAACTGGGATCACTTCACTTCTCTTGTCAGCTTATGGGAGGATTCCGTTATCGAGAAACATCGACGAGGAATATCATCGGCTCGTTGAACACCTTCACGAGAGTGGCAGGAAGGCAGAGAGTTTGAAGTCACCAAAGGACGTCTGTCTACGGAAACTCTCGAGCTGATACGCCAGCGTGGAGCCGCACGAGCTGCAGGCAATCACCAACTCACGTCCGAGCTTGCGAAGCTATGCAGAGAGGCGATAAAGGAAGATCTCAAGGAGCGAAGAGCAGCAGAGGCTGGGAGGAGCATCCGCAATGCCCGCCGAAGCTTTGGCAACTACACCACCTTCGTTTTGCTGACGACATCGTTCTTATAACGCCGAACATCGAGCAAGCGGAGCGAATGCTGGCTGATTTCGACTGCGCCTGTGGTAAGGTTGGTCTACAGCTGAACCTAACGAAGACGATGTTTATGAGAAACGGATTGGTTCCTGATGCCCCATTCACGCTCAACGGAACGAACATCACCGAATGCTCCAGCTACGTGTACCTAGGTCGGGAAAATCAATATGATGAACGATCTAGCTCCAGAGCTGAGCAGGAGGAAACGAGCGGCTTGGGGAGCGTACAAGAACATCGAGGGAGTAGTGAAGAAGACGAAGAACATCCGGCTCCGTGCCCACCTCTTCGATTCCGCTGTCCTTCCTGCCCTAACCTACGCCTCAGAGACTTGGACTCTGCGCAGGCAGGACGAGCATGCGGTCAGCGTTATCCAACGCGCTGTCGAGAGGACGATGCTAGGAGTAACCCTATACACGCAAGTGCAGAGGGGAATCCGGAGTTCCGAACTACGCCAACGATCGAAGATCAGGGACGCTGCCGTTTTCGCCAAGGAATCGAAGATAAGGTGGGCCGGACACGTCATGCGATGACCGTTGGACCAGAGCGGTTACCGACTGGATCCCTCGGGACGTCAAACGAACACCTGGACGACCGCCGGCCCGATGGTCAGACTTCTTCACGAAAGCTCTGAACGAAAGGAATGAAGGACTTCGTGTCCCTCGAGCGAGGAGGATCCACTGGACAACTCTTGCACGCGACAGGGACGAATGGAGACGTTGCTGGCGCCCGCTCGAGCAATTCGATGATCAACGGGACGACAGGTGATACAGGTGATACATCTAGAGCTAGAGGGCAAAACCCATGATCTTCGTCCTCAGACTGCAGACAATTCTCTTTCGAATGGTATATAAGCGATGTAAAAGCATGGGATTTAGATGAAAATTTTGTGGTTGAAAAAAAGCGACATTATTTATGAGACAACCTAATAGTTTCAACAATAATCGCTTGGCTAATGTTGTAGAAACTGAGCATAGATAGCCGCCTTGAAGAAAAATGTCAAAAGCAGTTTTACTTTTCGAACAATATAATAGCTTCATCTACGGAAACTCGACTCTCTTCCGGTGGTAAACCGCAATAGTTAGTTTTGTATGTCTCTGACTATTTAGACTATGGATGCCTGGATAGTATCAATCTACGTATATCCCAACGAATGCCTGGTCGGCGTACAGGATATTAAGAGCACGCAAACCATTCCACGCCTTTACAGACCTGAGAGGGTTCGCTTTGTTACAGCCAGTCATCGTAGATCCCTCGGGAAAGATGACACTCAGCGAGACAGATCCGCAGCATACATGCACAGCCCGCAGGCTTACTGACCGTCGGAGCACAAACGCTTGAGTAGTCTACTTGGGATTAAAATCGCGGATAGAATTTAGCAACCAGTAACCATAATAGCTCCTCCAGGAGGCAATCAGGCTGAACGCATAAATGTACGAATTAGTCCATGTTCGGTCTTCTTGAAACCTTGGCATGTAGAGAATATTGTTTGTTTTTCTTCTGCCATACAGGTTGTTACGATGGAACTATTTACTTCGGTCGACGTTTCGAACAACTCGTCTTAGCTTGTTAATATTGTTTACAAGCTGGGGCTGGGCTGCTTAGTTGTAGTACTGTGGGGCCTGACCTACAAGCTAAGACTTCCAACCGACTTCAGGTCCTGAAGACGACGAGTTGTTCGAAACGTCGACCGAATAAATAGTTCCATCGTAACAACCTGTATGGCAGAAGAAAAACAAACAGTACGAATTAGTGTTTATACACAAGCAGTTTTTGAGTGAGTAGTGAGCGATCGCTGCCTTGTTTACGGCATTGCAGACACAGCGCAGAGTAATGTTGGGCCATAACAATGGTGGTGAGCGTGGAAGCGTGGAACACTCTCAGTAGTTGTACTTCATTCGTATTTTTAGATGTTCTCCGTGGTCACTGGTATCCTTACAGCTATTAATGTTGCGAGTGCCATTAAAATAGAGGTGAGTATTTAATAATCTATCTATTCACTGGTTTGTTAGCAATTGTAGAAGTTTTTCTCTGAAGATCTTTGTTGATGAGGGTTCCCTCTCCAGAGACTGCAGTAGTGAACTAGCCAGTACTAGCAACACAATGTACAGGGTTTCCAAATTACAGTGACAAGGTAAAGCGTTGGAAATTGACGCTGTCAAGAAGCGGAATGGATAGCAGATATATGTATTCAAGCTCACTGAACCAAAACAAAATTTCTTTTTAAAGTGGTCACCGTCTGCATTGGCACAGAAGCGAACACTTTAGAGGAACTCAGTAACCATGGCTTGTCCGCTGCGTTTTAACCATAAGATTACTTTTGAACCTCAACATGTGGACAGCTGGATCTTTTTTGGCATCACTAACAAATTCTTTGCTAGAAATACCTTTAGATCCCAATTTCGGCAAAAGCGTCTTTTTTGCTAACTTTTTTCTATCACTCTCTTCTTTGTACTTCTTGTGTTATTACCATGAATATCAGCACTGCGATGCAACATTCACAATTAAGACGATGTCAAGAATGTGACTAGAGCCTGTTAGGCAGATGAGGAAAAAACATACGTCACAAAAACAGAAAGGTTGCGATCGCCGAATTGTATCGCTGACCTTCATAAACTCATGTAAAAATACTATTTATATCCACAGAAACAATATGAATGCCTACTTATCACGATCTCGGTTGTTCTACTTGGTGTTGCTGTGGTAGCCAAAGAGCAGTGAAGGGAGGAGGTGCCAAGGAAAGGAAGCGGAAAACTATTTTTCAACGGAGCAAAGAATTGAGTATTGAAAATCATTATGGCATCATGCCATGATTTATATGAGGACCTCTACAATACGCAACACCGTTTTGCGCTTACGCCACTTCCGAGTGGTTTTGGTGCCACAAGTGGAAGGAAGCCCAGCGGAAAGCGCAAGCCTTTAGCAGGGAAGGGAGGTTCTAGCGGTTGCTGGAGGACCAATCTGGTTGTCTGGAATAAACCCTTATATCCGGAAAGCGCCAGCATTAAAGGCATGCCCCAGGATCGCACTGGTGTGGCTCTTGCACACGAATGTGAATGTATCGGTGCCAAGTGGGCCGGCAGTGAAGAAAAAAGGAAAAGAATCCGTCGAAAACGCTCAGGTTGAGGGCTCACTCACCTTCCTAATTGGCTGTGCTAAAGGAACGAGAGACTAAGCGCGAAGAGGAGAGTATGGGGCGAGAGAGCGCATCAGATGAGAGAGCACCAGACAACGGCCTGATAAGAGAGCTCGTTCGCTGCAGCTCGAGCAGCTTACTTTGCAAGCCCAAAGCGTTCTTGTCGGTCGAATTCCGTGCACGTGAACGCCACATTTGTGATTGTCCCCTAGGGTTCTATACTTCTGACCGAAGAGAAGAGTTCACACGACCTCTGCCTGGGTTGTGCCTTTAAGGCAATCAAAAGTTTAGTTCGACACGGAGCATGCATACTCGTTTTATTTCGGAGATGCTAAAGTCGACAGACACAGTTTGCTGTAGTGTTGTGCGTTAAGTAATGTTACGCTACTGAGTTCCTTCACTGGCGCGCTAAGGAAAGCTACCGTGAGAGTAGCCAAAGAACTAACGATTGTGAGCGAATCCTACAATGGGTCGTGAAGAACAAGAAAAGAAACCAAGGGAGTAATGAACAGCTTGATGGCTATATATAAACGTTGTTGGAATTGACGAAGTAGTAAAGGTCCCCTAAGGTTCTATACTACTGACCGAAGATCTGATCTTCACACGACCTCTGCCTGGGTTGTGCCTTTAATCACTTTAATCAATTTGATTGGCTTTGCGGTGAGATTGTGACGACTCTTTTTCAAGTTGTCCAATTTTTCTCTAATTTCAACTTTGAAAAGTCGTGACTCCTGATGACCAGTATGTATTATAACCTTTTTGCTGCTTTCGTGAAAATATCGCCGCTTCTTTTCACCTCCTTCCAATTTCTACTTTTCGGCACAAGAACTTTCAAGTGTGAACGAATGTTCCAAGAGGGGCTACTTTCTAGAACCCATCATTCTCGCCCAATCAGTAATACAGTGCGTACCATAAGAATAAACGCACCCCAAAAATTACCATAACTGTACTATGCAGAAGTTCTTGACAAACAAACCTATCACCTGTATCACCTGTCGTCCCGTTGATCGTCGATTTGCTCGAGCGGGCGCCAGCAACGTCTCCATTCGTCCCTGTCGCGTGCAAGAGTGGTCCAGTGGATCCTCCTCGCTCGAGGGACACAAACCTTTCATTCCTTCCGATTTGATTTGATTTATTACATGACGAGAACGCTCATATACTATACTCATGTGGAGAAAAACGGTAAAGCAAATAACAGCAAAGCACCCAAGCACAGAACTCGTTACAAAACAGGTAAAACATGACAAGAACACATGCAATAAAAACAGAAATCCAAATCTAAAAATGAACTAAGGAATGAAGAGTATGGAGATGACAACACAAATTGGAATCACATGGAAGAGTTAAGAGGAAGAGTGGAATGTAAGCAAATCATGAACAATTTTTTTTGTCAGAAAGGGGTAGCTCCCAATTCTTGGACCACTCATTAACAATATCGATTGCTTTTTGAAGCACAATTGAATCGGCTTCGTTTTCAATAACCTTATAGATCTTGAGATCATCTGCAAATATCTTACACTCAACTCCGATCTGAGTCACTGAGGAACTAAGCTCATATATATTGTAATTGTAAATATCGAATAGCAACGGTGATAGAACTCTGCCCTGCGGAACACCACTGTGAACTTTTCGTTCACTTGAATATGACTCACCAGTTTAGCTCCGCACACTACCGCGTGCATGACACGGAAGGGCTCCTAAAACTGGCAGCCGGTGGAGCGTTAGATTCGCCGCTAAACAATAAGTCGCCTCGTGAAATGCCTAAGCTGGCCATTCTCGTGTATAGATTAGATTAATCGTGAAGGCGAGTGGGCGATTGGGCGATCGCCCAATGGGCGGAGCAACAAATCAATACGTACCCTTCTCTTATCGCCTACTCGCCTAATCGCCTAATCGATTCGTATACTTTTCATTTTGAATCATCGCCTAATCGCCTAATCGCCTAATCGCACGTACGATCGCCAACTATGAACGCTCCATAAAGTGTTGC